GGTCTTGCCTGGAAATTGATACCAGGCTCCCTAGATGGAGTCAACCACTCTGAAAATCCAGGTGACATTTGCCACCTGCTGTTCCCTGGTTCCTCTTCCTTCCTCCAGAGTCCCTCAGAGCTACTCGCCAATCATGCCTGCAGGTCCGTCCAGGGCCAAGGCTCTAATTCTGCCGGGCATGGAGGCCTGACCTCACACAGCGTGCTGGGACTCGTGGAATCTCTGACTGCCCGACTCTTAAGAGGGAATGTGGTCCTATCCTTTAACTTTGGAGTGGTGGGAGAGTGCCCAAGGTCACCCTCTGACTAGGGCAGTCGTCTCCCATCCCAGGATTCTTTCCATGCCCGTCTCCTGTATGTGTATCCTTCTCCACGTGGGTTTACCCGCAGGACTGGGGCCATCCGTGGCCTGAGCCCCTGCTTGCTGCCGACTGAGGTGCTAAACCTTTCCACATTTATCTCCTGCATCCTGCATCAGAGCAAGAGAGCAAAGCCATTGGGTTCATCCAAAAAAATGTGTGTGTATTTGCTCATGTGTGTGTTTCCACGTGCACTAAAGGATTAGATATGTTTGCAGATACTTCTCAGGATGTCTCACATGGTCTCAAGCTGGGCCCAGCTCTGCTTGGTTGACTCCAGGAGGGACTAAGAGAGGTGGGACAACTGGCAGGGCTGGTAGGATAGAGGGTAAAATTGGGTAGTCAGTTTCAGCCCGAGGGCACCCCCTCTCCCAGCATCCGCTCCTTGTGGGTCCCAGTGGCTGGCAGCAAGAGAAATGGAGACAGTTGGACTTTTCAGCCAAACTGCGTGATGCTTTGCTTAGGGTGCCGAGTGTGTGAGTGACGACCTTGGCTTTTGTCTCAAGAGCAGTGTGGCACATCAGTAATTAGAAGGGATGATCACGATTTGTGCCTTTCCAAGGTTGTGATTAAGCAAAAATAGCCTCTATTCTTCAGCCGGCAGGAGGAGCCATGGTGAGCTGGGTGGGCCACGGGTCCCAGTGCCAGGGCTGGCAGGGCTGCGGGGAGCAGGCGCTGCAGGGGCTGGCCTGCCTCAGAGCTGGTCATGAAATGTTGTCTCAAAAACAGCTGGGGGCCCACCCCACCCCAAATCCAGGCACGGCAGGGACCCAGCCTGAATAGAGCCACACAAACAGAAATGAGCAGGAAGTGGGAAGAAACAGGCAGCCTGATAATGAGGTCCTAGGGTCCCTGGTATGTGGCCCCCCACCACTCAGGACCCCGTGCCCGCTGCTCTTGTCAGCAGAGGCTCTGGGAAAGCCTCCAAGGGCAGAGCGGTAAGGCCCAGGCCAGTCTGCTCCAGAATTCCCAGAGGCTCCCTGACACCGCTTCCCCCGGGGCCTTTCAGGAAATGTGCTTCCCAGTGACTGATGCTCCCCTGATCCCTTCCGACTTCTCCTGGGGGTTTGACAGCACAGCGATGTCTCCTAGGTCATGTGCACCCTGGGATCTTCACTAAGTTTTCACTTCACTTCAATAAGTTTTCACAAAAATGTCGTGCTAGATCCCGAAGGCTGATAAACCCTGCTCTCAAGGGGTCCACAGTCTGATGTGAAAATAGGCAAGTGATGTCATGGTTATAAGCCAGGCCCCGCCAGGCATGTTCTGAGATAACCATCTCTGCCCAAGTAGATCTGAGAACACTTTCCAGAGGTGGTGACAACTGAGCAGAGTTTTGAAGGATGGGGAGGAATTTGCTGATCTGCAGAGGGGGGAAGAGCTTACCAGGCAGAGAGCTCAGCGTGAGCAAAGGCGTGGAAGCATGGAAGAGCTGTGTCTTGTGGGAGACTCAGAGCCAGTGGCCTCAGTCACTGTAGTAGAAATGTCTGGTTCTTAGAAGAGCAGAACCCTTATGGGCAAGGTACAGGCAGATGGGTTCTAGGCTGCCTTTCTGCTTGTTGACAGAGGCCTCTGCTAAGACCGGAGACAGGGAAACTGGTCCTGTTCTCAACTCCCTGGGGGCCAGAGTCTAGATCTGGCAGTCTCGGTCTCCCCGCCTCTCTCCCAGAGCAAAGTATCTCTGGCTTTTGTGCATTAAAAGGAAGCAAAAGGCATGGGAGGCCAGACTCTCCCCCTTGGCTAGGGAAGAGTTGCGGAGGACAACCCTGCCAAGCTCCCATCCCCACCGAGCCAGGACCTGCCTCAGCATCACTGGCGGCCAGGGCACAGCACTGGTTTTATGCCCAGAGCATCACGTGGGCCCCCAGGGAGCTGGCCACAGGCAGATCAAGGATGCGGGTGCTCTCAGTCTGTGTAATCAGCGAGGGTGCGGGATGCAGTCCCCACCTAACAGAGGGCATGGTGCCCAGGAGATGGCAGGACCCTCATGTCTTCCCTGAAACTTATTTATAGTCTCGCTATGGTAATTTGTGGCAATCATAGCATTTAATTCTGTAATCACACTGCAAGCAGGCATCCAGCCCAGCAAGGCTGGGGAGAATGCCAGGGCTCAGGGAAGGACTTGGGGGCAGGGCAGGAGTGTGGAGGCGGTGATGTCCCCACCAGCCTTTGGCCCTGTTGTATCAGCTGTAGCCCCAGCTCTGCACCCCCTTGATGTACCCTGGAAAACAATAATAATACAAATAATAATAAACTACTAACACTTACATAGCACTTGCTATGTTTCAAGCCCTGTCCTAAGCACTTTGTATATATGAACTGATTTATCTTCATCACTACTCTGCAAAATAGCTACTATTATTATGCCCATGTTCCAGATGAGGACACTGAGGCATAGGTCAGACAGCTAGTAAGAGCCAAGATCTGAACCAGGCAGGCATTCTGTCTCCAAAGTCCATGGTCTCAACCAGATTTCTCTCAGCCCCAGCAATAAGGGGTCTCCCCTCTCCATGCCCACAACCTCAGCTCTGCCTAGCTCCTGGTTCTTCCTGGTCTGCCTGCCCCGGAGCTGCACACGCCACAAAGCTTGGCTGCTTCGTCCTGGGGAAGTGACACTCAGCTTCCCTCCTGGATACTCTTGGGGTTTCCGGCAAACTGTTTTACATGTGGTGGGCAAAGGAGCCGTGGTGGCGGACCTGGACTTCAGTCTTCAAGGGGCGACTTAGCAATTTATGCACATGTTTTTCCTGCTGCAGAATCCGGATTGTCAAGTCCATCTTACCGGGAAGCTGGAGAGGTCAGAGGTGGGGAGGGGGCACTCCTTATCAAGCATCTTCTTCTGCTAAGTGTTGGGTACTCATAGTTGGGCTCACTCTGTCTTACCAGTTGTGTGGTCTGGGGCAAGGGACCTAGTTTTTTCAAACCTCAGTTTTCTCATCTATAAAATGGGATGAATTGCAAGAGGACCACTACTCAGACTAGATGAGATGGTACCTGTAAAGCTCACAGAGCCTGGGACATACTTAGTGCTCAATACAGCTGAGCCCTTTGCTAGTGCCTTTATTGTGATGCTGTCCTGAAGGCAGGGCCCAGGCCACTTCCAGCCGCGCTCGGGGCAAGTTCTATAGGATGTTAGAATAAAGGCAGAGGGAACCACTGGGGGAACCTTACTAAGTGCTGGGCAGAGCCAGGCCTCAGAACAAGTCTTTCCTCTTCTTCCTCCAAGCCAAACCCCTCCATCAATTGGGAAACGATTTCCTGTCTGTGTGGGCAGCAGCTCTGAGCTCATAAAGCAGTTACCCTTAGACCAGGGTTGTATCTGTGAGGACAGACTATTTCAGAAATGCACTTCCCTGCTGAGGAAAGCTTCTCCCTTGGAATTCTTTGCAGACGCACCCTCCCCTGGGGCCAGGAGTTGCTGAGAAGATACTGACTCAGAAGCAGCCGTTGGCCAGGGCTCCCACCTACACCTACCCGGGGTTGCCCACAAGGCCCCGGGAAAGGACCCTCCCCAGCCGTGACTCCTGGCTCGGGGCAGGGGGTGGGGGTGGAGTGGGAAGGAGAAAGGGCTGCTTTAAGAGATGAGTGAGTTCCCCGTCACTGCAGGCAAACAAGGGGTTCACAGTCTAGCTGTGTGGTTCAGCCACACAGAGAAAATGAGCATCCTTCTCACAGGGAGAAAGGAGAGGAGGTGAGGATTCCTCAGGGTGGCAGGCATCCCTGAGTGGGCAGTGAGGGCCACTGGATGTCTTTGAGGCCTCTCTCCACCTGAAAGCCCAATGTAGTGACATTTAGATTCCTAAATCCGTGGGTGTTAGATCAGACGAACTGTTCTGTAAAGGGTCAGAGAGTACGTATTTTAGGCTTTGCAGGCTGTAAGGACTCTGTGGCAAATACTTAACTCTGCCACTGCGGCACAAAAGCAGCCACAGACAAGACGTCAAGGAAAGAGCTGGCTGCGTCTCAATAAAACTTTATTGACAAAAACAAGTAGTGGACCCAATATGGTGCAAGGCTGTGGTTTACAGATCCCTGTGTTAGAGGAATGAGAGCTCAAGCAGGACTGGATGCCGAAAAGCGCTTCCTGGAGGAGGAGGTGGCAGCTGAGAGACACAAGGAAGGCATTTCTGGCAGTGGCCAGCTGCACCCCAAAGCTCATGCGTGATGGCCACCAAATGCTGCCTTGCCTCTCGGAGAAGACACCTCCTCCGGAACGGGCTCCCGTTATTTAAGGCCGTGCTAGCACTCTGAGAGCTTCAAACGGGTCTTTACTAAATGATTTTATCCAGCTCCTCTAGCTGTTCTCAGAGGGATGCTTGGTCCAAGTTCCCACTCGTAACTGGAAGTGGGAGTCACCAGGCGACACTCGTCCTGTTGCTGTCATTACTGATGAAGAACACAGGATGGCTCCTGCCTGGCCTCAGGGACAGCACCCGTGCTGGCCTCCCTTTCCTCGGGAGGAGGAAGGTTTCAGGTTGTGTGGATGTTGGCAGCGGGGCCTCGGCGGCCTGACTCCCCTTCGCTCCAGACTCTCATTCCAGCTCACCTGTGAAGCCCAGGCCTCGTGCCGGCTGGGCCCTGAAGAAGGTCTGGCCACCGTGAGAGAGGCCTGGAGATGCTGAGTCCTCTGTTCCCCCCACAGGAGAACTGTACCGGGTTTCCTTGAGAAGACAGAGGTTCCCAGCCCAGGGAAGCATCGAGATCCATGAAGACAGTGAGGTGGGCTGGGTTTCTGAGGGTGTCTGGGCCACCTCTATGGCCAGGATGTTAGGAAGAGCCTCAAGCCACCCAGTTTTCACCCAGCTCTTCATTTGACTTGCTGTGTGACCTTGGCTGCTCCCTGTCCGTCTCTGGGCTTCTGGCTCCCATACGAACAAGAAGGGTCTCTTGGGACTCTTCCCACCCTGACACAGAGGGGCTTGCCCTCCTGGTAGCTTGTGCCCCTGACTCTAAATGCAGAGGGGGTGCCGTCAGAGTCCCCCTGTGTGGCTGTGATTCTCTGTGTGCCCCCCGCGCCCCGTCTCCCTGCCGCCCGGCTCTCTATCCCGACCGGTGTCCCCCTCAGGAAGGCTGCCCGCAGCGCTCCTGCAAGACACACGTCCTCCTGCTGGTGCTGCACGGGGGGAACATCCTGGACACGGGCTCGGGGGACCCATCCTGCAAGGTGGCCGACATCCACACCTTCAGCTCCGTGCTGGAGAAGGTCACGCGTGCCCACTTCCCCGCAGCCCTGGGCCACATCCTCATCAAGTTCGTCTCCTGTCCTGCCATCTGCTCTGAGGCTTTCTCACTTGTCTCCAAGTAAGTCCCTTTCTGCTTGTGTGGCCTGGCGGGGGCGGGTGGGGGACTAAGTGGAGGGGCTGCCCCTGCCATGTGGTACGTTGTGGGCAGGTGGGTGCCTCTGTGGGATGTCAGACCCTGACTGACCACGAGCATCACTGGTGGGAGGTGGTCAGCAAGAGTCCAAAGCAGTTACAACTGCCCACTGAGTCCTCCTCTGCCCGGGGCTGGGTGGTGCTGGTTTCTCATGAGAGAGAGCTCAGATCCACTTCCTGTGTGCAGGGGGGCCGGGTCTCGTTGGCACAGATAAGGAAGCTGAGGCATTGAGAAGTTAAGTAATTTCCCACAAAGTAACCCAGCTGATGGACCTAGGAGTTAAACCCAGGCAGCCCTACTTTTGAGCCACATAATTAGAGCCAGTAGGGATGTGTGCTATGATGGAGGTGGCACGGGGCACAGTGGGCATTCAGAGAGAGGGCCAGGGAGGCTTCCTGGAGGAGGTGACTTTTGAGTGTGCTTTGAGAGTAGCATAACATGGTTAAGGGTGTGGGTTCTCCGATCAGCCTGGATTTGAGTTCTGGCTTTGTGACCTGGGGGAAGTTGTTTATCCTCTCCCTGTCTCAGTTTCCTCATCTGTAAAATGGGGACGACCATGGTAATAACCACCACCTAGAGTCTTTGTGAGGCTTCGATGTGCTTATGTATGTGAAGCACCTAGCAGGGCATGGGGATTAGCCGTGACTCAGATCACTGTCCTCGGAGGAGAGAAGGCAGTCTGTCCATCGGTGGTCAGTGGGCTAGAGAGGAAGAGGGGAGGCCCCCCAGGACCTGGGGCCCTCTGAGACATTCTGACCATACTCCAGGCCCCGAGGGCTCCCTCCTGTGCTCCCCAGGTGCCTGTCCTGTTGAACCAGCTGAAGGCGGGTGTCTGGAGCCAGGTGGGGGCCCTGGCTGCTCAGAAGCGGTGCAGGCAAAGACGACCCTGAGCACCTGCATCTGGTAGAGCGTGTGGCCGATGGCTGGGACTGGAGCCGGGAACTTTCTGCAGTCCCGGCAGAAGGGAAGCCAGCAGCACCTCTGTCCCGCCCCTCACCTCCTTTCACAGCTTCTGCAGCAAGGAGCCCCCAACCACGTGGGGCTCGGGAGAGGGTGGAAAGAGACCCCCAGCCTGGTGCCAGCTCCCTGGGGAAGTGGGAGTGGATGCTCTGGGTCTCATTTTTCCCCTCTGCGAGAGAAAGGAAAGTGTCCCCTGCCCTCTGGATGGGGAACAGAGACCTGTCTCTGATTTATCCGTGTTCCCCGGACACGTTCTGGACAGATCTCAGTCAGAGTGACAAGGAAGGAGATTAGGTCGTGGTTCTCCAACCTGGTTAACGGCCCAGATCCCTGCTGTGATTTTTGTTTAACTGCGGGGCAGCTGGGCCTCCCCCTGGGACTTCTGAGTCAGGAGGGGGGGAGCCCTGGAATCTGCATCTCCACTCGCTCCAGGCTTTTGCTCAGCAGCGAGTTTGGGAAGCTGAGCTGAATGAAGGCTCCGTTCATCACACTCCAACAATCGGGAGTTAATTGTGTTCCTGCACAATCAATCTCAGGGCGCTGCACCCCGTCCCCCCTAGGACATCTGACCTCCAGAGCTGGGTTACCCAGCCTAGGCCTGATCTCCAGGAAGACGAATGGCCCGACGGCCACTGGAGAGGACAGCGAGAGGGGGAACCCCTCTCCCCCAGGCAGTGCCTTGCTGGGCCATCAATCACCCCTAATCACTGCTGGGAGGGAGCTCTATCTCAGCTAATTAAAATCTCTCCGGCTGCAATCGAGGGCTGTTTCCTCTAATTTGTGTTCTTTGGAGATGAGAAATGGCTGTTATGCCCGCCTGGCCCACCATGAGGGCTCTGCCACCTGCCCAGGGTGCCTTGAGCCCTGTCACATGCCCCAGTTTCCACCAGGTCCCTAGTGGGATTAGTTTTGGGCCCTGGGTCAGTCTGAGCTCGACGATGGGGGGAGGGCAGGATCTGGGTAGGGGTGTGCCTACAGTCCTTGCCTCTGCCGTCCCTCCCCACCATCTGGGTCCCACGCCCCAGGGGACAGAGGTAGGATGGGTGGGGCTGCGAGCAGGCACAGACAGCTGGGAGCTGGTCCCAGATGGGGCTGAGCTGCCCAGAGAGAGGGAGGCAGGGAAGTGAGGGGGCCCATGCATGGGCTGGACAGCCAACCCCCTGGCAGTGGGGATGCTATGTGGGAAGGCTCTCTTAGTCCTTTCTGGGGTCACAGACTTTTCTGCAAAGCCCCATGGCCTGTGCTTTTGTCTCTCCTGGCTCCTGCCTGGGTCCTCCTGAAGAGTCCCCAAGCCAAAGGCCCAATGCTTGGCCAGCATGTGCTCTCTCTTGCCCCGTCCGCAGCCCCAAGCCCAGCCCCTCTGCCTGACCCCGACTGGGCTCACCTTGGCCCCCTGTCTGCAGCCTGAACCCCTACAGCCACGACGAGGGCTGTCTCAGCACCAGCCAGGACCACGTCCCTCTGGCTGCCCTGCCCCTGCTGGCCATCTCCTCCCCGCAATACCAGGATGCTGTTGCCACCGTCATTGAGCGAGCCAACCAGGTCTATGCAGAGTTCCTCAAATCCCCTGATGGGATTGGCTTCAGTGGGCAGGTAGGACAGCAGCCCTCCCCTCCCCATCCTGGTCCCTGCCCGGAGAGAGGCTGAGATCTGCCTAAAGATCTAGACCAGGCGGTTCTGGAGCTGGAGCTTCTGAGATCCAAGGAGGCTTTTGAGATCTTTGGATTTGTCCTCATTTTACAGATAGGAGAATTGAGGCCAGCATCTGGGTTCTGATTTTGAGTGCATGCCAATCCCTGGCTAGATAATGACCCCTGACCCTACCCTGGTCCCTATCCTTAGGCTGACCTTCCTGTCCCCTTATTGGGACTCTCAGGGCCTCCCTGGGCCAGGCTCTGGCTGGGTGTGGGGGTGAGGGGCCAGCAGTGGGCAGGTCTGCAGCCCCAGCTCTGCCTTCTCCAGGTGTGTCTCATCGGGGACTGTGTAGGGGGCCTCCTGGCCTTCGACGCCATCTGCTACAGCGCAGGGCCCACGGGTGACAGTCCTGGCAGCTGCAGCCGGAAGGGGAGCATCAGCAGCACCCAGGTGCGGGCGGGAGGGTGGCAGTGGGGGAGGGTCTGTCCTTGGGAGCCCCGCCCCGGCCCCCAGGGAGCAGGGCCTTTCCTGGGGGAGCACTAGCCCTTCCTGTTTGTGCCGCGACAGCCAGGTTACAAAGTGTCGTATCACCGTCCCACAAGAGTAGCAAGATTGTCATTACAGGTGAGGAAACTGACGTCCATTTAGGGTTAGGTCCCCCGACGGCTGTCCAAATTCCCACTGGGTCTCTGAGTCTTTTGGACCTGGGGCACAGCCCTGTGCCTAAAATCCCACCCTTACTGTGTTGTGGCTCCTTTTGGAAGGAGTCTTAGGAGAAAGGGGTTCATTTGTGCTGGGGGAGGAGGAGGGGCCCCAGAGTCTCCAGTGACCGAAGCACCCTCCTGTCCTCTGCTTGGCCGCAAAGGACACCCCAGGTGTGATGGAGGAAGACTGCAGTCTGGCCGGCAGCAAGCGTCTCAGCAAAAGCAGCATCGACGTCTCCAGCGTGTTGGAGGATGACGAGCCCAGGAGGCCATTGCCACGGAAACAGAGCGACTCCTCCACCTATGACTGCGAGGCCATCACCCAGCATCACACCTTCCTATCAAGGTAACCGCTCCCTGTGCCTGCCTGCCTGCTAGCAAAGCATCCCGGGGAGAGGACCTTGGCCCAGAGTCACCTGGGAGACCTGTGACCAGTCATGCATCCCAGGCCCTTCCACAGGGTGGGTGAGGGGACCAGAGACCGGTGCTGAAATGCTGGGACCAAGGCCGCTCCCCCACGGACCCTGTGCTGAGACCCGGGACTCGGCATGCCGTCCCAGCTGCACCCCAACTTGCAGAGACCGGCACAGTCGGTCTCGCAAAAAGGGTATAATGCCACCCCCGCCTCCTTCACGGATGGTTTTAAGAATCTGGTGAAAGAACAGATGTAGGTGTGTTTTGTGTTTCTTAGTATTTCTTAGTATTGTGTTCTTAGTATTTCCCAGATGGGGCTGCAGGGGCCAAATAGATCAGGGACTTTCTTGGGATCACACACAGCCAGTTACTGGAGGGCTGGGGTCAGCATTTCGGTCTCCCAGTGCCCAGCACCCAATACCCTGTTATTCAAAGGCCAGCCAGGCCCCCATGGAGCTCTCCACCCCTTAACCGTCTAGACAAGACGTGTTGATGGACAGTGGGGACATGAATTCTCTGAACACTTAGGATTCAGATGGGTATTAAACATAGATCCAGACTGGAAGGAATGCCTCCTTTTTTCTTCCCTTTCTCCTCGATTCTCTCCTTCCCTCCTCCCTCCTTCTTTTTGACCCAGATGATAAGTAGCATGAGGTCATTATGACATTTGGAAAATATATCCTTTTCTCACTGCTAATGCTTTGGAGTTTGCCTTTCAGTATATCTTTTTTTACCTGCTTTGCATATAGTTTTACTTTAAAAAACTCTTCTTATATTGTGATCTTTTCCTCAGATAATTAAAAATACTTGGTAAGTATTCTTAATAATATTTTATTGAGTGAATGGACAACATCTTCTGTCGTCCCGGTAACTGGACACTTTAGCTTTTTCCGATTCTTTGCAAGTATAAACAACACTCCGTTAACATTTTGTGCATAAATATTAATGTATATATTAGAGTTTTTTCATTCAGATAGATTCCTGGAGGAAGAATTATTATGTCAAATGCTCTGCATATTTAAATCTCTATTTAAAGTCCCCCTGAAAGATTATCCTTTAGAAAAGCAGCTACATTTCGAGTCAGGTTGCAAGGTAAAAAATCAGAACATTTCTGGCTCATCCTTGAAAAAATCCTTTCAGGGATTTGGAGAGTGACATGAAGTTGGAGTCTCTCGGTAGCTGGTCCAACACCGCCAGCTTTTCCCTCTGGTGTAGGGACAGATGGCTGCTTCTTTGGCAATTAAGTAGTTGGTGTGTGTTTAGGGACCACGCTGTACATGAAATATGCATTGTTCGACACCAGGTCGCTGTCCTCACTGCAAGATGCTGGCACTGTGAGAGGCAGAAGGAGTGTGGGGATTCAGCTTCAACTGCCCAGACCCTCCCTCACCCACAGAGGATGGTGGGCTCGCACATATTATTTGATTGGTATTTCTAAAATTGCCTTTCTCCTCCAGCCTGAGTATTTTAGTGGAATTTGCATTCAGTTAATGGATTCATAGATCATCCAATCCACTGGATTTTTCTTCACCCCTGAGTGGTACCTGCATGCAGCTGGAAGGTCAGGGAGGTCCCCAGTTTTCCTGCTCATTCTCGGCAGCTGGCTCTGGGTCTGTGGCTAAACGTCAACTTGAACTCTTTGGGACAATCAGATGCGAATGGTTGGAATTCTGTGTGTCTCAGGTTTTCCTCTCTAAGCTCTGCTTCCTCTACCTCCTGGAGGGGAGGGAAGACCCAGCTGTTTGCATCTGTGTCTGCGGGTTGCCTGGAACATCAGTTACAATGAAAGCCCTAACTCTGGCAGGACCGACATCACCCAGCTGGTCTGTAGACTGGCCAGGCTGGGCTTCTCTGCTGGACAGGGAAGGAACTCAGGCTGGCCAGCACAAGACCAGCACGATGGAGCAGGCCTGCCAGTGTGGAGGAGGCTTTGGTTTTCAGGTCCTCAGTCAGTTTTAGTGAAGACAGTTTTACTGGATCATGGCCACACGTGTTTGTTTGCGTCTCGTCTACGGCTGCTCGCATGCCTCGTGGCAGCGTTAAGTAGATGTGTTGGAGGCCACATGGCCCCCAAAGTCTGAAATATTTAGCATCTGGTCCTTGACAGAAAAGTTGGCCGAATGTTGGCCAGGCCTTGGTGGTGGATACTGAGATGGTCACCAACTCGTGTGGCTGGCACAGCAGGTGGACTCCGGGTCTGACCCCTGCTCCAGAGGTGGAGAGCTGGGCACTGCACATGCAGACTTCGCCGTCCTGCTAAGTGCACACTCCCACATGCTCGGTCCTCCCCTAACCTGCACTCCTGTGTCTTCCTCCCTCGGGCAGCATCCACTCCAGCGTCCTGAAGGATGAGGCCGAGCCCCCTGCAGCCGGAGGGCCCCAGCTCCCTGAGGTCAGCCTGGGCCGCTTGGATTTTGACGTGTCCGACTTCTTCCTCTTTGGCTCGCCCCTGGGCCTGGTCCTGGCCATGCGGAGGACGGTGCTGCCGGGGCTGGATGGTGGGTGTGGTACAGGCCGGGGCCTGAGATGCCTTTGTGTCACTAGGCCACTGTGTCAGGGCCTGAAACTGGGGAGAGTGGGGACAGGGTGGGTCACAGAGTAGGGGTAGATGGAGAGAGAGGAGAGAAAAGGATTTGGGGGAGGAGGGAGAGCGGGGCGGTTTCCACAGACGGGGCAAAGGTGAGGCAGCCCTGATAGATTTCACTGCCCCTGTCACGTGACCTGGGCTGATTTGTGCCCCCATTGTCCTGTTGCCATGCTCTCTGGCGAGAGAAGCCCTACTGCAGACCTACTGCAGCCAGGTCGGTCTTACCACCCCCTACAGACCCCCAGGCTCACCACAGTGCCTTTGCTCTTGCTGTCCTCACGGCCTTGAATGCTTTCTGCCCAATCACCACCTCCATTCCTCTAAAATACAGAAGTGATTTGTACCAGCAGAAGGTTTAGTAATGACTCTGAGGATTTAAGAGGCTGGAGGCACCTGGGAGGACAATGGATCAGGGCTTGTCAAACAGCTTTTGCATCAAAGCTTATCAACAACGTACAGTATGGAACAGGTAAGAAGGGAGCGGCTTGGGTTGAAGTGGAGAGAGGAGGCAGAATCCCGTGGCCGCCCTAAACATGACTAAGGAACCCCAGGGCTCCCTGGATGCTAGACCATCCAGTCCCCTGACGAGCGGGACAGGGAGGTGCACTGATGAGGCGGAGGCCTCAGTGGTGACACCTGCTGGTCAATGAGAGAAGTGTTCTGCCAGCTCCGGTAAACTAAACTCTACTCACTACCAGGCCTGGGAACTGAACCTGGTGCAAGGAAGGGGCAGCTGATCCCAACTGACAGATCAGCCTGAGTCAGCTTCATAGATCAGGTAGCAATTAAGTGACAGCTGGAGGAATTTAAAAATCTGACCAATGGAAGTAGGGGAGGGAGTCCTGCTAGGAGGAGGGGCAGCTTGAGCAAAGGCATGGAAAATGAAAGCAGCAGGCCTGGCTGGGGGGTCATCGAGGTCCACCATGGCTGCAGTGCTGGGTGCCTAAGCCATGCTTCTAGATGGGGCAGATTGGCACAGCCTTGAAAGCCAAGCTGAATGTAACGGCTTTGATCCTGTTGGTAGCAGGGAGCCATGGCAGGTTCTTGAGCAGAGGAGTAGGCTACTCAAAGCTGCACTCAAGGGAGCCTCCTAGGGCTGGGGAGTGGATGCTCAAGGGGCCTCCCCCGTGTATCCTCTTGCTCCACCCAGGTTTCCAGGTACGTCCTGCCTGCAGCCAGCTCTACAGCTTCTTCCACTGTGCAGACCCCTCGGCCTCCCGGCTTGAGCCACTGCTGGAGCCCAAGTTCCACCTGGTGCCACCCGTCAGTGTGCCCCGTTACCAGAGGTTCCCACTGGGCGACGGACAGTCCCTCCTCCTTGGTAGGCGCTCTGGGTGTGAGTGTGCGCCGAACTGGAGGCTGGGCCCCAGGCAGGCAGCACTCCAGGGCCACCTTCTCTGGTACAGCCCCTCCAAGCTGTCAGCTGGTAGAATGACTAGACTCAGCTGAGCAAGTTCTGTGTGCTCTGGGGCAAAAGGAGAGCAGGAAAACAGCTGAGTCATGTGCCTTCGGGCAGCCCACCTGTGTGAGCATTGCTCTGTAGGCTGCATCTTTGGGCTCCGCCCCCTGACCTGCCTCCAAGGCTGGGGGCCAGCAATAATACTCGAGTTGTCAGACCTGATTGCAAATCAGGGATCCATGCTGAGTGCTCTTCCCAGTGCCCAACCTCGACTCTGGAAGTGCAAGGCAGGGAGTGTGTCATCCTGGTGGGCTTCCCGGAAGAGGCATCTTCCAACCAAGGCATTTGGATAGGTGGAGAAGAGCTGGAGGATGGGGGTTGGAGGGCTCTTCTCAGTGGAGGGAATAGCAGGAGCAAGGGCAGGTGGGTTTGGGGGAGGGCCAGTGGCCTCTGGGGCTCAAGTGGGGTGAGCTGGGCACGGGCCGGGGTGAGGCCATGGGGAGGCCTGTAATGGACAGTCAGGGGCTTGGTGATCAAAGCCTTGGCTCCATACCCCAGTTCAGGAAGTTGAGCCAGAGCCTGTTCAGAGGCTTGGGCCAGACTTGGGGGACAGGGATGCTGTGTGTGTGGCTCATTCAGGATTGAAGCCCAGCTTCTCCCCCAGCCCCCATTTCAATGGAGACTTAATTTCCAAAGTCCTGTTTTGTCAGATTCCGTCGATAGAAGGGGCTCTCAAACCTCCCTCCCCCGTCCTAAAATGTATTCCTCTTTGGTCAGGGCATCCCCCGCCCCCAGAGGGTGTCCTAACTCCGAGGCTGGAGGCCCCACTCATTGCCAGGCTCAGCCACCGTCCTCTGGCTCAGAGATACCAGAGCACGAGGTTATGTGTCACCTGTGACCTCAGCTGGTGCTTTTGGGGCCAGTGTCCCAGAGGCGTCCCCGGCAGCTCTGTTGAGGGTGGACATGATGATTGGGACCCTGACTTGTGCCTGACTAACCCGAAGCTTAGAGGAGGTGAAATGAACAGTGTACTATGGTGAGGGGCTCCTGACAGGCCCCGGGTGGTGAGAGGTGCAGGCTGCCCTTTGGGCAGGTGAGTGAGCAGGCCAGGCCTTGACTGTGAAACTCCCCCTCCAGCTGACGCCCTGCACACACACGGCTCCCTCTTCCTGGAGGGCAGCTCCCGGGGCAGCCCACCGCTCCTGGATGTCCCCGCCTCGCCCCCTCCGGCCCCAAGATCCCAGCGCCCTGGGCGGAGGATGAGCCAGGGCAGCTCCCACAGCGAGAGCTCGGAGTCCTCGGACAGCCTGGCCCCCGTGGGCGCCTCCCGCAGTGAGTGAGGGTCTCCCAGGCCCTGCCTGGATTTGTGGGAGAGGGCCCTTCCTCTAGGTGGCCGCTGGTCCACTGCCAGGGCTGCAGAGGGAGGGCAGGGGAGGAGGGGAAAAAGAAATCCAGACTGAGCTGGAGAGAACTTTGACCTCTAACCACGGACCAAGCCATGACCTTGCCAGGCTTCAGCTGAGTGCTATCCGCAGCCAGAACCCTAGTTCCAACGTTCAGTGTTCCCCTTGGGAATCCCTGCTGACCTGGGGTGTGAGACTGTGGACATCTCCGTGGGTCCAGCCCCCATCATGGGGACCAGTTTGCAGCAGGGCGGGTGGGGGACGGGGCTGGTGGGTTGTGGACAGTGGAGGGGGAATGATGTGTTTCCCCGAGCTCATCTTGAGCTGAGTGCTCTGGCCTCAAACTTGTGCTCTGAGAGACACATCCAGCCTTGGGTCTGGGCCCCAGGGTCCCACACTGCCCCTTGTGTCAAGGTCTGGGGGGAGGGCCACTCTGTCCTCACCTCCCTCTCGGCCCCACAGTCACAGCTAAGTGGTGGGGCACCAAGCGCATCGACTATGCCCTGTACTGCCCCGACGTCCTGACGGCCTTCCCCACCGTGGCCCTGCCCCACCTCTTCCACGCCAGCTACTGGGAGTCCACAGATGTGGTGGCCTTCATCCTGAGACAGGTACTGCGGGCCCTTCCTGGGGGGGCCCAGCCTTCTCTGCAGAAGAGTCTTAACTTGCAGGCCATGTGGGATGCTGGGAGCACACTGGAGCACGGCAGACAGGCGGTGACATGGACAGACAATGGTTTTCATAAGGAACATTGGTTTCTGGCCACTGGTGTGGCACTTTCTAGAAAATGAAACAAGCGCACATAGGAGAAGGTGCCCATGTCTCAACTTGGAGACTGGAGTCATCAAGGCCTGGTCCCCTGTGGCTCTCAGAGTCCCCATCTATAAGATAGCTGAGCAGAGAGGCCAGCAACTGAGAGAGAGCCTGGGGGGACGGGAGGCTAGGAGGTGGGGGAGGGGGTCGGATCACATGCAGCCTTGATGGCCAAGGTCAGGGTGTGCATTTTATACTGGGTCCAGTGAGAAGCCATTGCAGGGTTGTAAGCAAGGGAGAGATACCACCTGACTGTATTTTAGAAGGAAATTCTGTGGCTGTGGTTTGGAGGGCAAGAGAGTAAGTGGGAAGCCCACTGAGGCAGGCGCAGGAGCCCGACTTTGAGGTGGCAGCTTGGGCTCGGGAGCTGGTGGGGAGGTACCGAGGAGCAGCTGGGTATGAGGTGTTGGGGACAGGACCTGCCGACGTCTGGGCTGCCAGGGAAAGAGGGGACTCGGGTGACTCTTGGTTTCCACTCTTGTGTAACTATGGAGTGCAGTGTCCTAGGGTTGGAAGGGCGGGGCTGGGTGAGGTGGGGGACATCACATCTTGCGTCTGGACCTGGGAGGTGTGAGATGCTAGTTGGATGGTGGGAAGGAAGGTGAGTGGTGAATCCGGAGCTCAGGGTAGACGTCAGGCTTAGAGATGAGAACGTGGGGTCATCAGAGCTTGGACGGCATTTAAAGCCAGTGACGGGTGACTCTGCTCTTCACACCAGTTCCCACTTGTGGGTTTTTTCCCCCACACCAAGCGAATCTCTGACCCCGGCTGGGTGTTTCCTTTGATTTCACTCAATTCTGACATTGTCTGCCTGGAGACAGCGTCAGATCCCACAGGGGAAGGGCTCAGTCCTACAGCTGTGCCCTCCCCACCCCAACCCCTGGGCTTCTGATCGACCTGCTATAGATCAGAGGTTCCAACAGTCCTCTCCTTGGGCAGCTCACAGAACTCAGTTTACTTTTACTAGGTTCCTGGTTTATTATAAAAGGCTTTAACTCAGGAAGACCCAGATGGAAGAGATGCCCGGGGCCGGGTATGGGGGAGGGACTTGCAGCTTCACGCCCTCTCGGAGGGCGCCACTATCTCCAAACCTCCACGGTTCACCAGCCCAGAAACTCTCTGAACCCCATGCTCTTGGGTTTTTATGGAGGCTTCATTACATAAAAGTGATTGATGAAGTCATTGTCCACTGGTAACTGAACTCCAACCTCCAGCCCCTCTCCCCTCCCCGGAGGTGGGGGTAGAGGGTGTGGTTCTGAAAGTTCCAACCTCCAATCATAAGGTTGGCTCTCCTGGCAACCAGTCCCCGTCCTTAGATACCAGTCAAGTCACCTCAATAATATAACAAAAGACAACTTTGTCCCTCTCACTTAGAAAATTCCAAGGATTTTAGGGGCTTTGTGCTAGAAACTAAACAGAGACCAGATACATATTTCTTATTATAAATTACAATATCCCAGATAGGAGGGGAGTTCCTGCAGATAGGGAAGTTCAGGGAGGAGTCTGGGCTCCTGGGGCAGAGAGGAGGGACCACAGAAGGAAATGGAAGAGGATGTCTTTTGAGATCAGAAGAGAAGCAGAGCAGATAGATGGGAGTGGGCCTCTGAGTTGGGCAGGACAGAGGTCATGGGGCCTTGGCAAGAATGGCTTCAGGGGCCGTGGGGACAGAAGTGACTGGACTGGGTGGTGGGGGGAGGCCAGGGGGAGCGGAGACATCACACAAGGTGAGTCTCGGGTGGAATGCCGCTGTCAGGGAGAACAGGGAAATGCGATGGTCACGGGACAGGGGTCCTAGGAGAGTTTGCTTGTTTGAAGGTGGCCACTGTTGCAGCATATTTAGATGCTGAGGAGACTGATCCAGTAGAGTGGGACTAATGAGTCATACAGGATTGAGAGGGGAGCTCGCTCCATCTATGTTCTTGAGTAGGTGGGTGGGGCTGGGACCAGGGCTCCAGGTGGCTGTTGGTAAGGGTCACCCACCATATGGGGAAGGCAGAGAATGGGTAGAGACGCAGGTGGCTTCTAGGTTTGGGCATAGAGAGCAGACTCTGCTGCTCCCAGGCCAGAGCATTTGAGAGACAGTGCTCTGGCTCCCACTGTCAGGACAGGTGGGCAGAGAGGCAGATCCTGGGGCTCCCAGCCTCCTGAGGGTCCCAGGCCGGGAGATGGGGCGGTGGTGGGGAGGGCCCTGACACCGCGGGGAGGAGGGAGAGGAGTCCAGCCACCAGACCCGGAGTCCTGCTGGGCTGTTTGTCAGGTGATGCGCTATGAGAGCGTGAACATCAAGGAGAGCGCTGGCTTGGACCCCGCGGCACTGAGCCCCGCCAACCCCCGTGAGAAGTGGCTTCGTAAGAGGACCCAGGTCAAGCTGCGGGTATGTGCTTGTGGGAGTCGCCCTTGGGTGGGGGCTGTGGCTTCAGGGAGGTGGGGCTGCCCCTAGGGGTTGAGGCATCCACAGGGCTGGGAAGGGCTTTGATTTGTACCTCGAAGCTCTGGGCTTATATGTGCTGGGATCCACACTTAGCCGAGGTGCCCAGGGCTGCAATGGAGGTAGGGGTGGGGCGGGGAGTAGGTGAGGTGATGGAGCTGGTTCCCCGTGGCCTGGCTCCACAGGAGCATCATGGATGGTGGTCCAGGACACTGGGGATGGTGAGGAGATGCCAATTATGGAGCGAGTGCTATATGCCAGGCCCCCACATTTGGGCACATGGAGTCTGAGAGAGTCCTAACCCCAACTAGGGGCTCACAGCCTGGTGTGGCATTTGTCACAAGAGAGGGAAGCCAGATTAGGAAGAAGATGGAGAGAAGGAATGTCAGGGAAGGCCATGCAGGGCTTCCCTGAAGAAGCGTCACCTCTGCAAGGTATTGAAGTATGAATAGGAGTTTGGTATGCACACGTTCATTTATTTAGTCAGCAAACAATCGTCAATGCCCACTGTGTCCCAGACGCCCTGCCAGGGAGTGGGGCAGAGGGTTGTACAAACAGAGCCCTGCAGAGGTGGACACTTCTAGTCTTGTGGGGACACCAGGCATGGGCCTCAGAACAGTCCTAAATGGCAGGAGGTGATCAGGGTTCCATGAATCAGCTTTGTTTTGGTAAATATATTTATAGAGACATAACCATATTTTATACAATCCACCCACTTAAAATGTGCAATTCAATGGATCTTCATATATTCATAGATGTGTGCAGCCGTCATCATGTTTAATTCTAGAACATTTTCATCGCCTCCAAAAGAAACCCCTTACCCTTTAGCTGTCATCCCCCTCTTCCCACCCCCCAGCCCTAAACCAGCCATGTACTTTCTGTCTCTATAGATTTGCCTATTCTGGGCATTTTATATACTGGAATCACCCACCATGTGGTCCTTTGTGTCTGGCTCCTTTCGCTGAGCATAATGTTTTCAAGGTTCATCCATGTTGTAGCCAGTGTCAGTACTTCATTCCTTTTCATGGCATTATGTTTCCGTGTGTTTATTTCCATGAACCAACTCTTCTCTCCCCAGTGTTCTTGTAAGGGGGCTGGCGTCCCCCACTTGCCTGTCTCCAGGTCAGTGTCCATGACGGGTTCTTCTCTGTGTCCCCAGAGCCCAGCTCAGAGACCAGTGCAGACGAGGTGCCTGCAAATGTTTGTTGAGTTGAATTAAAATACCGTGGGAATTGAGAGGACTCTTCAGGGCGTCCGCAGAGGGCTTCTTGGAGGGGATGAAGTTGAGGAGGTCATAGTGGGTGGGCTGGAATGTGGGGGCAGAGGGCCAGGGGTGGCGTGGAGAGTTGGGGGGACCAGTGTGAGCGAAAGTCTGGAAGCCTCTGCAGAGCCTGGTGTGAAAGAACCATCAGGGCTCAGAAGGGGAGACAGGATTGAAAGGGCTGCCCAGGCAAGGTTCTGATGCTGAGCTCAGGGTGGACTCCATCCGGAGGCCCCTGGGTATTAACAGATCTGTGCTTTAGAAAGATAGTGGATCTACCGTGGGGTCTGTTTCTGAACAAGGAGCTCCATGAAGACGCTGTTAGCAGAGTCCCGGTGAGAGGTGACTCGGGTGTGGGCAGAGGTACTGACATGGGTGGTTCTATAAAGGCAGGATCACCTGATTGAGTGGTTCGGGTCTCGAAGCCAGGCTGGGAGTGGGGGCGGTTGGGGCCAATGTAGGCCTTTGAGTTGCAGAATGAATTGTGAAGAAGGACGTGGGTGTTGGCATAGTTATAGACAGATAACGTGATGTCCATGATTGCTCCAGGATAATCTGGTATGGGCTGGGGACGGGGCTGGGGATCCAGCCAGGGAAGAACGGAACCAGAATGGCTGTGGCTGATGCCGGCCGCAGGAGGCTTCCTACACTGTTCAGTCTGTTCTTGTACGTTTGAATCTCCCACGAAGAAAAGACAGATGGTAAATGGCTACTGGACGTGAGCTGGGATGTGAAAGGAAGAACTGAAGGTGACCCACAGCTTCCAATCTGGGAAACTGGAAGGATGCCAGGCTTTGAGGACTGGCTGGTACCTCTGGGCCATGGGGAGGCTCAGGAGCAGAGAATGCTGGTCTCCAGGAACCCAGTGCTCCTTGGAGACGACATTAGGGTCTAAGGGTCTGTTTTCCTCATGGGTTCGAATGGGACATGTCTCGGAAACTCTCGTGGGAGTTAACAGGAAGGAAGGCAAGATTTGGCAGGTGCACATCCCTCCAGCCGATGCTGAGGGTGGTGGAAGGACAAAGCAAGGTTGTGCCCCCTTGCAGAGGCTAAGTTGGTTTCTGTCCTTCCAGAACGTCACTGCCAACCACAGGGCCAACGATGTGATTGCTGCGGAAGACGGCCCCCAGGTCCTGGTGGGACGCTTCATGTATGGGCCCCTTGACATGGTGGCTCTGACTGGAGAGAAGGTATGGAGGCTGGGCCATCCCCGCCTGGGTACCACACAGCATGTGGGGCGAGGGCTGCACCAGGGCCTGGCGGTACAGGTCCGGGAGGGCGAGGCAGGAGTGAGGGACTGGGTGCCTCTAAGAAGCTGGCGTGGCTGCAGCAGAGAGAGGATGGGAGGAGGCAGGAAACAGCACCAGGCAGGACCCCAG